GGAGAAGGAAATAGGAACAAACAGACAGAAAACCAAGTCCTACACATCATGTTCTTCTATGATGCTTAACCCTTAATACTAAACATACAAGAATAAAAGGGAGCTGATTACAAAGATTCTTGCTTGCATGCTTGCCTGGATATAATATAACTTCATATGATGAAGAAACAGAATGTATAATTTCAAAATATAACAGAAAATATACATACTAAAACTGAGAGATTACCACCCATACAAGGCTGTAACAGATATATAAAGGCAGTGAAGAACTGCACTTTCAGTTCCAAATGAGAATAGAGGCTTTCCTTTTTTTTCTTCTAAATTTTCTCTTTTGAAATTTCTTATGGAGAACCTTGTCCAAACAAATCCTTACACCGTGATGGTTAACCCCTTTATCCCAATGAAACTTAAAAAAGGGTAATCTATTCATGACAAAACTTCAATAAACCCCAACATGCAGTTCATAATGATATCAATGTCAAATGCATCATTCAAAGACAGTGTAAGTTGAAATTACAGAACACATACCAAGAATTCCAGTGTAGTAGGTAAGTGGAACATCAGTGTGCTCAATTTTGAATAGTATTTGAGCAGAGGATAACAAGCTATACTCTTCCCAATTGGTAAATCCCCACACTAAATCACCTTCCTTATAATTTGGGTGTCCAGACTCCAACACTTTAGACACACCATATCCTGTTAATGGCTGCAATCACTAACACTAATCACCGGAAGCAAAGATACATTCTTCAATTGCAGTTTCGATCATGAACATTCTTTGATTAACTTCAATCTCAATTCAAAAGGTAAAGTGAAAAACTAAAACAATAAGAGCAAATTATTGCATGTGTAGTAAAGAGTTTTTACAGTGTGATTCAATCATACAATTGCCTTACACAATAAATTTCTTAACTTTCACAACAGCTAGCTCAAAACTCATAATCATCACCAACTCCAATTGGTTGATGGTGTGAATAGCGATTAAACTCAAAGAACAATCTCAAAAACTACAAATTTTAAGAATTTTAAACACAAATTGCAAAACCCACTTCCTGAAATGCATTGATTCCATCTGATTATCAAACAAAATATTCACAACTCAAACCAATTAAAACCTTTCAATTACACAAACCGGTCCCGATATCATGAACATGCCAACAACATCATCTTTCAAAGATTAATTCACATAAACAAAACCCATATATGTATCTAAAAGTCCATAAACAAGAAGTACATTATTTAACGAATCAAACTGCATAATTTGCAGCAACAAAAGGAAAAAAAAATTACTTACGGATCCAGGAGTGTAGGCGCGACTATTGGGGGATCCTTCTGGTTTGCTCATGAGATTCCTCATGTAAGGGTCACAGGACAAGTACAGATTTTTTAGCAGGACATGATTGGAACCTTGTGGAAGCTTCAATGTTATGGTACTTTCGACAATGTTCATGTCGGATTCTTTTGGAAAACCTGTGACATGGTCCCTCAGAAGCACTTGCTTGTTCCTCACTTGTGTCATCTTCTTTTACTTAGCTGGGTTTCTGAGTTTCAATTCAGTTCAGTTTATAGACAAAAGGGTTCAAGGAAATCATAAAGAAGAAAATTATCCTAAACTGAAAATTACTCACCAATGATGATGTTGCTGACAAAAGAGTTTCTGTTTCTCCATTATTACCCTTAAATGAAGAAAACATAAGTGACAGTGACACTGTTTTCACCATGGAAATTTTACATGCTTCATTTCATTCTACAAACTTAATTCTGAATTAAAATAAATTTAGATAGACATAGTCTTAAATAATTAATTTAACTATTAACCAATTTATATTTTAATTAATATCCCAAATACAGTTTTTTGTGATCTTGATGTATAATTTGGTTTCAAATGATTCAAAGAATTAGACTTTCGACAGAAATTATAAAAGAAAAAGAAATGTATTTTTTTGTTGATTGAACAGAAAAGGAAATTTATATTTTTTCTTTTTCTCAATTTCCTTCAAAATTCAATTTATTTAAAAAGATAAGATATAAAATAAAATAATTTTATAATTTTATTATAAATAATTAATTAAAATTTAAAAAATAAATATAAAATTTAAAAAATAAAATAATTTATGTCAATAAAAATATATTTACATCAAATATAGTTATAAAATAATTACAAAGATAATCTTCCTTTAGTAAGTATAAATGCATAAGTCTGTAATTTGATTTTTATTTACGAAAAATCACAATAATAAACTAATAATAATTTACAAGTTTTTTTTATTAAGTAACTAACTAGGTCACGTACAAATCTCTTTCCAATTTGATTTTCATCAAATTTACACATATCTCCAATTGCTCTTTGAATTTAATTCAATTTAATTATTACAGAGAAAAGGTTCATGAAAATGATGAAAGTGACAAATGATTCCAAATTGAAAATGATATTAGCGAGATGATTTTGTTGGACTTCCTTTTTCTGGAATAAGATTACCTTTTCCACTGTTTAAACGTGAAAAACGTGATAATGGATAACGTGAGAAAGGAAAGCACGATAGTGATATTGGTTTTATAAACAACCCATCTATGGTATTTTACCAAATACTTATAACAGGAGGAATTACATAATCATAAACATAAACAAAGTCTATATTAATCTAATTGTAAATAAAATTACAATAATATTTCAAAAAGAATTTAGTTGAGATCAAAATTAGTATATTAAAATATAAGTTTTCTTTATACAAATT